GCGTGATAGCGCATGCCTGTAGTTCGGCTACTCGGAAGGCTGAGGCGGAAGGATCGCCGGAGCCCAGCGGGTCGAGGCTGCGGTGGCCGGGAGTGGCCACTGCACTCCAGTCTGGGTGACAGAGTGAGACTCCAACTCAAAAAAAAAGAAGAAAAAAAAGAGTTTGCAAACCACCGATCTGTCTCTCCTGTCGCTCAGAAGAGATCTGCTATGACTCTCCCTTAAGTCACCAAGAGAAGGTCAGGCACCTTATAACTTCAACAGAGATAAGAAGTGCTTCGTATTAACACAAGGGAGGCTGTTCTTAATCATTCATTGAACAGTGAGTCACATCTAAAAATCCCCCGACTCTGAATGTGAAAGGACCAGGGGGAATTTTACCGACCACAACCAAGAGCATCCCTAGGTCTCGGGGTGTTCCCACAAGAGCTTGTGAGCCCTGAGTTCCTATTTATGTCAAATCAGGCTTCTGCCTGATGACCGTCTAACAAGACGTGAGCAGCCAGGATAAAAGTGACGAATAGGCCGTGGCAACGTTCTAGACCGAGAGTTTTGGTCTATAGCTCCATCGGCTCATGTGGTAGGTCTTCAATGTTTAAATGTAAATGTGGGCTGGGCGTGGTGACTCACGCCTATAATCCCAGTGCTTCGGGAAGCCAAGGTAGGAGGATCGCTTGACACCGGGAGTTTGTGACCAGCCTGGGCAACATGTCCAGATCTCATCTTTACAAAAAGACAAAAACAAACCAAAAAAACCCACCAAATTAGCTGGGTGTGTGCCACCACACCCAGCTACTCAGGAAGCTGAGGTGGGAGGATCGTCTGAGCCTGGGAGTCAGGGCTGTGACAAGCCGTGACCGTGCCTCAGCACTCTAGTCTGGGTGACAGAGTGAGACCCCGATTAAAAAAAAAAAAAAAAAGATAAAATTGAAATATCTTCTTATTGCTGGCTTTTTCAGCACCCTGCAATAATTCTTTGTTCCTCCTACAACTTCAAGGTCTTATTATAGGCCCCCCATTCCATGACACTAGACTCAGACTCGTTTCTGAATCACTGTTTTCTTATCTACAAGTTCAAGTGTATTCTAAAATATACCTCCCAAGGGACAGTTTCCCTAAAATGTCCCTTGGGCTTTACACCACAGAAATCACCCTAGCAGTAAAGAGAAACAGAAACCTTGCCCATCTAGCCTGACTTACCTTCATGTAGGTGCAGTTTCAGTGCCACAGTCAAATGTCACAGAGTCCTCATCATAGCTGTGGCTTCTCTTGCCATGGGTATGACCCACCAGGGCATGCACTGATGCTTTTATATCCCCATAGTGTTTAACACAATACCCATATAGTAGGGGCTCAGCAATTAGCTCTCAAGTAGGAATTAGACTTTTTTTTTTTTGAGTCAAGATCTCGCTCTTTTGCCCAGGCTCAAGTGCAGTGGTGCCATCACAGCTCACCTTGGCCTCAAACTCCTACCTCAGCCTCCTGAGCAGCTAGGACTGCAGGCACACACCACCATGCTAGGCTAATTTTTAAAAAAATGTCTGCCGGGCATGGGGGCTCACACCTGTAATCCTAGCACTTTGGGAGGCTGAGATAAGAGGGTTGCCTGAGCCCAGGGGTGCGAGACCAGCCTAGGCGAGACCTCATCTCTACCATAAGTCAAAATATTAGCCAGGCGTGGTGGCATTCTCACGGTCACCACAGTCTCAACCTGGTTACAGCTACTTGGAAGGCTGAGGTGGGAGGATCACCTGAGCCCAGCAGATTGAGGCTGCAGTGGCCGTGAGAGTGTCACTGCACTCCAGCCTGGGTGACAGGGAAACTCCAACTCAAAAAACAAAACAAAACAAGAAGAAATTTTTGCAGAGACATGGTCTCACTATGTTGTCCAGGCTGGTCTCGAACCCCTGGCATCAAGCAATCCTCCCACTTTGGCCTCTCAAAGTGCTGGCATTACAAGTGTGAGCCACTGTGCCCTGCTAGGGATTAGACTTAGAAGACTGCTTAAATTCTAGAACAGGGGTCAGCAGACTACAGGGTATGGGGCCAAATCTGGTCTACTTTTAGAAATATTTATCTGTTTTTGTAAATAAGGGTTTTTTTTTGTTTTTGTTTTTGTTTTTGAGTTGGAGTTTCACTCTGTTACCCAGACTGGAGTGCAGTGGCCAATCCCGGCCACTGAAGCCTCGACCTGCTGGGCTCCAGTGATCCCTCTGCCTCAGCCTTCCAAGTAGTTGGAACTACAGGCGGGCGCTACCACTCCCAGCTAATTTTTTAATTATTGTAGAGATGAGGTCTCGCCAAGTTGCCCAGGCGAGTCTTGAACCTGCAGGCTCAGGCCATCCACTCACCTCAGTCTCCCAAAGTGCTGGGATTACAAATTGAGCCACTGAGCCCGGCTTGTAAATAAAGTTTTATTGGAACGCTGCCACACTCATTCATTTATATGTTGTCGATGGCTGCTTTCACACTGTTAAACAATTGAGTAATTATGACAGAGACCATATGACCCACAAAGGCTAAAACATTTGCTCCCCGGCCCCTTGCAGAAAAAATTTGTTGACCCTTGGTCCAGAGTCACAATGTGACATGGTAGATAAACCATTTTCCAAATCTTTCTTTCTGTTTACTTCCAAATGAGGCTTATGAGCTGAGGAAAAGTTCAAATCCAGAAACATCTTGCCAAACTATAACTATTATTATAACCAATTACAGCTGTTTCCTCTTCAGACCAATGTGCTTAATAATAGGAAATTTTTTTGGAAACATATTCAAACACTTTTCTCTTTTGCATTTTCTTGTGTCTGTTTCCTGCTATTTGGCCAGATGCATCCCTATTATTTAAAGGACAATCAGGATTTTCACAACAGGAATACAGAGAGAAATAAATGGTTAATATTTTTGCTTCTGACATACAAAATAACGTTTTCCAGCAAGACAATACTTTTGATATCCAGGTTTTATTGAGAAAGGGGATTTTCTAAATTTCTTTAGAAATTTAAACCAGGTGCAGTAGCTCATGCCTGTCCCCCAGCACTTTGGGAGGCCGAGGTAAGAGGATTGCCTGAGCCCAGGGGTTTGAGACTATCCTGGTCAATTTGGCAAAATTGCCAATATCTCTACAATAATCTCTACAATAAATTTAGAAAAATAGCCAGGTGTGGTGGTGCACGCCTGTAGTTCCAGTTACTTGGAAGGTTGAAGCAGAAGGATCACCTGAGCCCAGAGGGCTGAGGATGCAGTAGCAGTGAGCATACCACTCACTCCAGCCTGAGTGACAGAGTGACACCCCAACTCAAAAAAAAGAAAGAAATTTAGACAAACGCTGGACAACAGTGACTCACAGCTATGGCTCATGCCTGTAATCGCAGCACTTCGGGAGGCTGAGGTGGGAGGATTGCTTGAGACCAGGAGTTCAAGACCAGCCTGGGCAACATTTGTCTCTACAAAAAATTTTAAAACTTAGAGGGGTATGGTGGCGCATGCCTGTAGTCCCAGTTACTCAGGAGGCTGAGGCGGAAGGATCATCTGAGCCTAGGAGGTCAAGGCTACAGTGGGCCGTGATGGTGCCACTGCACTCCAGCCTAGGTGACAAAGTGAGATCCCGACTCAAAATAATAATAATTACATAAAGTGGGTCATTTATCATTTAAATTCTTGGATCCAGCTAAGTTTATCACATTAGACTAAAATATAGTCCTCATTCCATTGTCTAAGCCTCCCTCACACCAGTGCTCAGCAGTGTGAAAAACTTCTTTTTTTTTTTGAGTTGGAGTCTCGCTCTGTCGCCCAGGCTGGAATGCAGTGGCATGCTCAACGGCCACCGCAGTCTCGACCTGCTGGGCTCAGGCGATCCTTCCGCCTCAGCCTTCCAAGTAGCTGGAATCACAGATGTGCGCCACCACACCCAGCTAATTTTTTATTTATTGTAGAGACAGATCTCACCAAGTTGCCCTGGCTGGTCTCGAATCCCCGGACTCAGGCAATTCCCTCACCTCGGTGTCCCAAAGTGCTGGGATTACAGGCTTGAGCCACCACGCCCAGCAGCGCTGTGGGTGTGAGAACTTCTAAAGGTATTTCATAGAAATAAACAAATTGCCTTTTGGGGAGCACATTTGAGTATGGTGAGAGTAAATTTGTGCTCCTGCGTCTTTCCTCAGCCCCACACCTCTTTAAACTCTGGATTGGATTACTTCCTCACGCACGTCCGCAAACATACCCACACCCACACATGTACAAACTGGTGTTTAAAGCTAGTTTCAGGAACACGCTAGAAGAGAGTTAGGTTCTAAGATAAACAGGAGGAAAAAAAACCCCTTCCCTGCTACCCCCAAAAAACTCACTCCTGGTAGCTTTATTTTAAAATGCAACTACTTGTGTAAACAGGATTCAAGGATACAACTTTTTCCTGCTCTTTTTCTTCGTCTGATCCAGGGAGACGCTGAGGTCATCAATCTGTCACAAAAAAAAAAGTATAATTTGGTCACTTTGTAGAATAAGGCTTATGCGTTGGAGCCTATTAGATAAATTACAATGTCGAAAAAAATTTTAGGGCCGAGTGAGGTGGCTCACGTCTGTAATCCCAACACTTTGGGAGGTGGAGGCGAGAGGATTGCCTGAGCCTAGAGGTTTGAGACCAGCCCGGGCAGCTTGGCGAGACCTCTTCTCTACACTAAATCAAAAAACTAACCCAGCGTGGTGGCGTGCCCCTGTAGTTCCAGCTATTCTGGAGGCTGAGACGTGAGGATCGCCTCATCCCAGCAAGTCAAGGCTGCGGTGGCCGTGAGCAGCATGCCTGTGCACTCCAGCCTGGACGACAGAGTGAGACTGACTCAAAAAAAACAACAAAAAACCTTCCAGGGACAGAGCAAACAAAGCAAAGAGCAACAGAAAGCTCAAAGTCTCAGTCTTGAGATGAGGCTGGAGCCACCTCGCCCTTGGCGACGGGCACCCTCCTCAGCGTGAACCCAGACAGCACGCTCAGGCTGTTTTTCAATCTCCTTGATAAATATGCAGGGTTTCTTTGCCAGTAGTAAAGCTACTAGCTCAAAGCAGGCTGGGTGACCTCAGATGGCTCCACTGGGACGCGAGAGGCACTGAAGCCCTGGTGAAAACGGTGCTGTCACTGCCCACTCAAAGGGCCACCTATCAATGCGCCACGTGCCACCCCCTGGAGCGCACACATGTGCGTGCACACACTTGTTCGTGTGTGCATGTGTCCACCTCCCCCGGGGGCCGAGGCCAAGACGGGCATCCCACATCAGATGGATGAATAGCAGGTCTGTCCTGCCAGCTGTGTGCTTGCTCCCACCCAAAGAAAGCGGCAGAGACTCAGACAGCGAAGCTTGGACGAGCCCACGCAGTCTGCTCCCGGCCCTCGGTGCGTGTCAAGAGACTTGAGGGCAGTGAGATGGCGTCAGAAAGAGAAATCATCGACCTCCAAGTAAGTTCTCTCCGGGCGACAGGGAGCCCGATCGGGGGGCAGAGGCAAAGCTGGAAGAACAGAGGACTGGAATTTTCGTCACTTTCTGTTCTCCCCCTTCCATTTTCTTCTCACCCACCCCCTTCTCCAAATGCTCCCTGGGCTTTGTCTCTGATTTCTCTTGCTCTCTGTTTCCCTGTCTGGTTCTTCACTTGTTTTGAAAGATGTGAGAAGCAGATTGTTGAAATCCCTCTTGGCCTCTGCTTCCTCTTGTCAGTCAAAGAGCTAATTAGATCCGTGTTACCAGAAAATGACTTCACATTCTGCAGGGCGCTTTCCCCCAAACCCCAAGACAGCCAAGATGTATCTGAGAGCCTCCCGGTTTCCCGGAGACAGGAAAGATGTGAGTTTGGGGGTTAGGAAGGGAGTCAGCTGGCCGGCTTTGGAAGAAACTAGAGCCATTCCTCAGGTTGGAAAAAACTAGGGCCATTCCTCAGCTATCTTCACAAAGTGCTCCTGTGTGGGACAGAAAGTGTCTCCTTTGCACAGCGCCCAGCAAGGAAATCAGTAGTATCGCCCAGGAAGAGGCAGAGCTGTGTGTCCCTCTCCACCTTGGCCAGGCCTGAAGGGCTTCAGAGGGCCAGTCCACCACTGTAGGGGAAAGGGATGGATGTCACAGTGAGAGGACAATCAGGCCACTGGGATCGGTACCCTTGACTCTCTGTCATTAAATAGGAGAAAATCAACTTTCCTCTAGCTGTCGCAGATGTATGGTTTATATGTCGAGTCAAGTAATTAAAGTGTGGAAAAGGACTCTTGAGATCAACAATTTTGTTGTTGTTGTTTTGGTTTGGTTTTTTCCTTCTGAGTGACGGTCTCACTCTGTTGCCCAGGCTGGAGTGCAGTGGTGTGATCACCGCAGCCTTGACCTCTTGGGCTCAGGCGATTCTTCACTTCAGCCTCCCAAGTAACTGGGGCTACAGGCGTGCACCCCCCACGCCCAGCTTACTTTTTAAATTTTTTGTAGAGAGGAGGTCTCACTATGTTGCCCAGGCTGGTCTTAAAGTCTTGAACTCAAGCGATCCTCCACCTCAGCCTCCCAAAGTGCTGGGATTACAGGTGTGAACCACCGCGCCCGGCCGAGATCAAGAATCTTTGATCCTTGAACCTGGACTTCAAACAAAATCTTAAACGGCAACCCAGTATATACTTCTGACTTTAAAAGAGCTGTTTTGGCCGGGCTCGAGGCTCAGCCTGTAATCCCAGTGCTTTGGGAGGCCGAGGTGAGTGGATTGCCTGAGCCCGCGGGTTCAAGACCCGCCCGGGCAAATTGCTGAGATCTCATCTCGACAATAAATCAAAAAATCAGCCGGGCGTGGTAGCGCGTGCCTGTAGTTCCAGCTACTCGGAAGGCTGAGGCGGAAGGATCGCCGGAGCCCAGCAGGTCGCGGCTGCAGTGTGATCACTGCACTCCAGTCTGGGCAACAGAGTGAGACTCCAACTCAAAATTTAAAAAATAAAATAAAATACAAAATAAAAAGAGTTGATTTGTTGAAGCTGTGTGTCAGGGGGTGGGGGGCAGAGTAGTACGAGCCTAGGAGAGCCTCTGCTCTTGACCTCGCCATCCCTGATATGCCACCAGGAATTTATAGAATCACTCGGTGTACTGTGTCAAAACCATTCACCTGGTGCAACTGCACACCCAGTGTTGATTTCCTCACTTGGCAGCCAGTCAGCCCCAAACAGGGTCCCACCTCAAGGGGTGCTGTCCCCTCTGCCGGGAATCCTCTTTCTCCGACTTATCCCTTGGCCGGCTCCTTCTAGCACATTCTCAGCTCGAATGTTTCTGCCCCAGGGAGACCACCCCTGACCAACCTCTGTATAGGAACTCCCTTCCCCAGTGTGTCTCCGTTATTTGTTTGATTTCTTCCATAGCCCTGCCGCCCCCCCCAAATGAGACGCTTATTTATCTGTTATGTATTGCCTGTCACTGTCTCTAGGACATAGACTCCCTTAGAGAAGGGTCCACTCTGTTGTATCCATTGCTGCAGCCCTAGCACTGGGCGATGCTTGGTGCACTGTACGTGCTTGGAAAATACGTGTTAAATGAATGAGTTAGGGAAACCATGAGTTAGAGGGGCTCAGTATTTGGCATAAGGTCATTCAACCAGTCCATGACAGAGTTAGGACTTCAGTCCAGGTCTTCTGACCCTCGGGTGTATTTTCTTCTTTCTTCTAGTTCTTGCCTTTGCTAGATCCCTAGACGCTAAGGAAACGGGTTTCTTATGTGCTGATGGGTTAAGCAATCCTGAGTTACAGGCCGAGGACTCTGCATTGAACGAAAGGTTCAGAAAGAAAGAGGCTGGTAGGTGGGGAGGAAGGAGAAGGGAATGACTGCTGGGCTTGATGAATGCCTCTTTCTCTAGCAGGTAACTGAAGGGTTGGTTTCCCTTCTTTATTAGATAGAGTCGGTCTTTCTTTCCTAATGTACTATTTTCTTCTAGTATCTTATTCACATCTTCCTTTGGTCAGAAGTTTTGTTTGTTTGTTTGTTTGTTTTTTGGAGTTTTTTTGAGTCAGAGTCTCACTCTGTCGCCCAGGCTGGAGTGCAGTGGCCACTCCTGGCCACCGCAGCCTCAACCTGCTGGGGCTCAGGCGATCCTTCCATCTCAGCCTTCCAAGTAGCTAAAACCACAGGCATGCACCACTACACCTTGCTAATTTTTCTTGACTTATTGTAGAGACAGAGTCTCACCAAGTTGCCCAGGCTGGTCTTCAGCCCCTGGGCTCAGGCAATCCTCCCACATCAGCCTCCAAAGTGCTGTGATTACAGGCGTGAGCCACCGCGCCTGGCCTGGTCAGAAGTGTATCTAATTACTTTCCACAGCTTCCTCTTCAGTTCTCTGGATTAAATAAAATTTCTTTGTTTTGTTTTGTTTATTTATTTATTTATTTATTTTTTAGTTGGAGTCTCACTCTGTCACCCAGACTGGAGTGCAGGGGCCGCTCCCGGCCACCGCAGCCTCGACCCGCTGGGCTCCGGCGATCCTTCCGCCTCAGCCTTCCAAGTAGCTGGAAATACAGGCGTGTGCTACCACGCCCGGGTCATTTTTTTGTTTTGTTTTGTTTATTTATTGTAGAGATGAGGTCTCGCCAAGTTGCCCAGGCGGGTATCGAACCCGCAGGCTCAAGCAATCCACTCACCTCAGCCTCCCAAAGTGCTGGGATTACAGGCTGAGCCACCGAGCCCGGCTCTGTTTTATTTTTTTTTTGAGACAGGGTCTTACTCTGTCATCTAGGGGCGTGCAGTGGCACAATCACAGCACACTACAGCCTCAACCTCCTGGGCCCAGGCAATTCTTCTGCCTCAGCCTCCCAAGTAGTTGAGACTACAGGCGCACACTGCCATGCCTGGCTAATTTTTATTTATTTATTTTTTGTAGCGATGAAGTCTTGCTATGTTTTCTAGGCTGGCTCGAACTCCTGAGCTCAAGCAATCCTCTCGCCTCGGCCTCCCAAAGTGCCGTGATGACAGGTATGAGCTACCATGCCCAGCCTAAATGAGGTCTTGAGTTGTCCTTGGAATCTGAGTAACCAAGGTGGGAGAATCCCTTGGGGCCAGGAGTTCAAGACCAATCTGGGCAACATAGCAAGACCCTATCTCTAAAAAAATTAAAAAGTAAAAAATTAGCCAGGTGTGGTGGCACATGCTTGTGGTCCCAGCTACTCTTGGAGGCTGAGGTGGGAGGGTTGCTTGAGCCCAGGAGTTGGAAGCTGCAGTGAGCTATGATCGCACCACTACCCTTCAGTCTGGGCAACAGAGCAAGACCCCATCTCTAAAAACAAACAAACAAACAAACAAAAAAACAACAGGGAAAAAAACCCCTCTTTAGTTAAAACAATGTAGTACAGTGGATAGTAAAGTACTATCATTGGTTGACAGCTTTCTGTCTTAATGATTATCTTCACAATGTTAGTGTGCATTTGAAAGAGGTGACTAACCCATCAAACCTGTGATTTAGAAGGTTTATTGTTTGGGATGAGGCTAAAAAAAGTGACAGGATGTGTTTTAACACCTTTATGCACTCCTTGCGCCGGACATGGGCATGCCTGGAGGTTCAATAACCGTGTCTGTCTGAACTGTTGGGAGTGTGGCTGGTTTGGGTGATGTGTGTCACAGGTGTGTGCCTGTGTCCACTGCCATACTAAGACATTGAAATCCTGAACCTGGCACGGCTGAACTGATGGAGAAACCCCCATCTACAAAAACACTCATTCGAGCCTCTACAATCAATGTTGCCTGTGTGTTCCCAGGTCAACACTTGTGAGACTGGAGTAGTTAGCACTCGCACAACTGGGTATGCAAGTCAAGGCTGCGGTGGCCGGGAGTGTGCCACTGCACTCCAGTCTGGGTGACAGAGTGAGACTCCAACTCAAAAAAAAAACTCAGCCTGTCATCCCGCGCCTTGGGAGGCTGAGGTGAGTGGATTGCCTGAGCCCGCGGGTTCGAGACCCGCCTGGGCAGGCGAGACTTCGTCTCTACAATAAATCAAAAAATTAGCCGGGCGTGGTAGTGCGCACCTGTAGTTCCAGTTCCTTGGAAGGCTGAGGCGGAAGGATCGCCGGAGCCCAGCAGGTCGAGGCTGTGCTGGCCGGGAGCGGCCACTGCACTCCAGTCTGGGTGACAGAG